TTCTCCCCATACTGCTGTCACATGGAGGGGAGGATCAGGCAGTAGCTGCAGCAGTGAGAACATGTTACATTCTATAAACGGGTAGAACATGTAATATGTTCCCAAATGAAAACTTATCCTTTAAGAACAAATGTACAGAACCTATCTTGGTCATAACCCGCAGACTGCTTGTATTGGCTAGACCAGGGGTGGGCAAACTTTTTGACTTGAGGGCCGCAATGGGTTCATATATTGGACCCGGGGGCCGGACCAAGAGTAGATGAATGATGTGTGTGTCATCCATAGTAAGTATAGTAATATTCCCCCATAGTAAGCATAGTAATTCATCCCCCATAGTAAGCATCCCCCGTATAGTAATTCATCCCCCATATAGTAATTCATCCCCCATATAGTAATTCATCCCCCCTATAGTAATTCATCCCCATAGTAATTCATCCCCATATTAATTCATATAGTAATTCATTCCCCATATAGTAATTCATCCCCCATATAGTAATTCATCCCCCCATATAGCAATTCATCCCCCCTATAGCAATTCATCCCCCATATAGTAATTCATCCCCCATAGTAATTCATTCCCCCTATAGTAATTCATCCCACATATAGTAATTCATTCCCCATATTAATTCATCCCCCATATTAAGTCCCCCCCTGTGTCAATTCACTTACCTTTGCGCCGCGCGTTCCTCTCGCCGTGTTCCCGCGCCGTTCCAGTGTAGCATGAAAATCTGTCTCCTATGAGGATCTGTCCCCCTCGACGTATCTGCGCATGTGCCAATTTCAGGCATTAGCAGCCGATCGGCGATCTCCGGCACATGCGCAGATACGTTGAGGGGAACAGATTTTCATGCTACACCGGTCTTCAGGGCGGACTGTGAGAGGAGCCTAGCTCCGCGGGCCGGATTAAAAGGTCCGCCGGGCCGTAGTTTGCCCATTGCTGGGCTAGACTATTGAACTACGTCAAGCACCATATTATCAAAATATTATACGCCCCCTAAAAAACTTTTAATGTAGTACCTAAAAAGAAGATACAGTGTAAAATCTATGTATAGTTATAGAGTAGAAAAAAAGTCAAAACCACTAGCAGGTTCACTTTTGCTGTCTGTGCCTTGCTGGGGAGATCTTCATTTAGTTTCTGTGATAAAGGAACAAGAGGATATCTCATACAGGGAAAGCATTAAGGCTTCGTTATCACCAGATGTGGTGGGACTGTGCTGGGCGGTTATGTCAGTGCAGTTCCACTGCATTACAAGGCAAATGCCTGGACTCCTGTGTGCCAGATTCACACCACTGCATTGCCCTTTACCTTGACCTCTTGCTCTGGTGATCGCACAAAATTTCTGGACTTCCCTCTACTTTCTAAGTGATAGTGGTCATCAGAGAAATAGAAAGATGAATCTCCCCTGTTGGGACACAGACAGCAACAAAAACCTGTAGAAGGTCTAACACTACCCTACTCTATTCAAAACCAAATATAATACATATTTTTGCCTTTACATACATTTTAAATGAAATCACATTACTTCCCAACAACTCTGAAGGATTTTGTTTGTAAATCACACCCTTCCGCTGCATAAATCCATTTATAAGAGTTGTAGCTGCTCCAAGAAATTTCAAAAAAGTGTGCTATCTATGGTTTTGTGGTCCAATGTGTAATTATTGTGACCTTTAACCACTTCCCGCAATTAGGATATACCTGTACATCCCCAGGTGTAAGAGATTATACAAGGACGAACACCATATTGATTTTTACAGTACAGTTTTACATTTTTAAAGTGATCCAAGCAGCTCTACAGTCACTTTACAGCCCACATGGAAGAAAAATATATTTTTGAAATAACTTTTTAAAATATTCTTCCCAAATATATTGACATATATTTGAAATACTACAGTTTTGGTCATATTCAATATATATATATATATATATATATATAAATATATATACACACACATATATATGCATATATACACATACATAATGCCATATATATATATATATATATAAATAATACACACATACATATATTATATTCTTCAGATTTTTTTTAACATATAAAAAAGTCATTTTAACATATATTTGTAAATGCATTCCAAAAATGTAGATTTGTATTTTGAAAGACATACAGCATATTTGAAAATTGTTTTTTTTTTTAAAATATTTTTCATATAGTTTGTAATAAAAACTAATTTCAACATACAGTATATATATATTTTCGAAATATATTGAATATGGCTAAAATTGTAGCATTTCAAATATATGTCAATATATTTGGTAAGAATATTTTTAAAATATATTTCAGATATATTTTTCTTCGATATGGGAGGGCTCAGAAAGAGGGCCTACCTCCCACCACTGTTCGTGGGCTCTCCCATTCCACTGGAGAGCCCAGGACTGCTGCAAACTTCCTCTGTGTCGAATGAAGCTGGAACCAATGAGGGTTAATCACTTCAGATTTTGGTTGGTTGTTTACTGGCCAGGCAAGCATCTGATCATCTGATCAAACAGGGCAGATACATCCATAAAGATTACCTGTTACTGCCCCAGCTATCACAAGGGATGTTGTTCATCCCTTGTGATAGCAATAAAGTTGAATAAAAAAAAAATTATGCACAAATGTGAATGGTTACTGTATCACACGCTGAGGTACAGCTGAACATATCAAAGTGAGAGCAATAATACTAGCACCAGAACTCACATGTAACTCTAAACTGGTAAACTGTAAAGGCTTTTAAGGCGTCGCCTATGGAGATTTTTAGGCACCGTAGTTTGCTACCATTTCACAGGAATGCACGGTTTTTATATTTGGTATCAATGTACACATCGAAACATCATCTTTTATATTTAAAAAAAAAATGGTATTATATTGAATTTGTGTACATTAAAATGCATTTAATTGTATTTTTTCTTGAAAATTTGCAACATTTACCAGGGCCATTTCATTCAGAAAAATATATAATGTTTGGGTGTTCTAAATAATTTTCTAGTAAAAATATCCTGAAACATGGATGTGAAAAATAATTAGAACTAGCCTGGGCATTTAGGCCTGGTTCACACCTATGCTTGCTGGAAAAAAAGTCCCTGAACCTTTCCAAAAATGCAGTGGCTGAAAGCATAGATGTGAACATGTCCCACAGGAAACCATGTTAAATGGACTGTAGTGTGTTTCTGCAAAACGCACAAAAAAACCCTCAAAAACACATAAGTGTGTACTAGGCCTTAGTAGTTAATCTAAATTGGTACCTGTAATAAGTTAAAGAAGTTTTTTTTTTAATACCCCCTACCCATGTTTCTAAGTGCCTCCCTATTTATTTGATGCAGACCTACATTTTTAATTAATGTGTGTTTTAAAGAGGAAACCTCTGGTGTCTAGTACTAGCATTTCCTAACACATTCAAATAAATATATTTGATTCATTTTTATACATATACATTTATACAAGTCAAAACAGTGTACAGAAGAATAAAACAACTGAATTCAAGGACTGTGCAAAAACAAATGATGTGCCTGCAAACATATAGGTAAAGGTGTCCATAAACAGGGCCGTTCTAATGACTTCAGTCTTATAAAACATTGATCAATTATAAAATAATTCATTTCCCTTTAATTCTCAACTCCAGCTTAAAGGTTTAGAGCACCAAATGCCCAAAATGTGGCCCTTGAGGCCCCTGCAGACAGTAGCCTATGGTTTCCTTACTTTTTGATTGATTACGTAAGCCAATCCTGGAAACATTCTGTGCACTGGGTTCTAGTTGTTAATGGTTTTGTTTATACCTTTTTAGTAATATTAATAACCCCTTCATGATGGAGAGTAAAACAAATATCAAAAGAGAAGTATGAGATTTTAAAAAAAAAGAACAAGAACTGAGCGATCAAAAACTGCTGATGCCCCGTCTCTGATTCTCTGCGATCAAAAACTGCTGATGCCCCGTCTCCAATTCTCTGCGATCAAAAACTGCTGATGCCCCGTCTCCGATTCTCTGCGATCAAAAACTGCTGATGCCCCGTCTCCGATTCTCTGCTCTACCCTTCCAGCGCTCACTGGAGTGCTGAGTTGTGGAGGGGGGGCGGGAGCAGCTCGCTGAGAGGCTGAGCCAGCTGCATCTGGGTGGATCCCGACATTAAAGCTGGGATCTCTGCAGAGTCTGGATCAGCTCTGTGACATTAGCCGACAGCAGACTTTTGACCACTGTTCGCTGGAAACGAGTCAGAGGAGTGCAGAATGAAGTGCACTCCTATGATCTACAGAGGAAGTATAGCCAAGAGATTTAGCCCTTCCTCTTTAAAGCCTGAACACAATTTTGCAACTTCGACATGTGTTAGTAAAAAAGTACTCAACATTGCAAGCACTTAATGTATCCAGGTGAATTATACCTTGCTTTTTTTCCAGGACACTTTGAGTTTCATTTGGTGGTAAATTAAAATAGATACGTTGATTTTTATTTATTATCATAAGAAAACTTGCACAAAATAGTACAAAAAATGTTTATTTAAATGTAGCTGTATATTTCTTACTTTGCACTGATACTAAATTTAAAAAAAGTTTTTTAATCCTACCTAAAATACACTGACCTTAACCTTTGACCCTAGCTAGTTCTTTTTTTTTATTTTAACCTCCCTAGCGGTATGATTATTTCATATTTTTTGTGCTGAAAGCGGTACCATTATTTTGCATGGAAATATGTAGTTTTTTTATTGTAGGCTGTAATTTTTAGGAATAACTCACTGAAATCTGTCTGAACAAGATTCTAAATCATACATTTAATTCAATAATATAATCAAACCAAAAACACTAAAATTTGAAATATAGCGCCAAGTTCACACATCGCTGAGCAAAGTCGCAAAATTGTTTTCAGTGTCTGATGACGAATTTCTCCACAAATCATCACTCAATTCTGCAAGTGGTTCTGATTTACTATCGCTGTTCTCTAGCTGATCTAAACCCGCTTTTGACCTAAAGGGACACTTTTTGGACGCCATGGACTTTTCTACGTTTCCAGGCAGAAAGAACAATCAAAATGCAGGCAGGGCACAGGACAAAGCACTAGGGACAAAATGTATGTGAAATGGGTTGAAACAGCAACGTTTTACTATGTAAAATCGTTTTGAAAAAAATGACATTTTTTTTAAATGTTCAAATTTCCCGCCGCGGGCGGCGGCGCCCGTACATCCCGACGTCACAGGGACCGGAACACAGGAGGCGGATGCTGGCATCTGCCGGAGGAGATGGCCGGGGACGCTGCAGGGGACACATCGCGGGAGCCAAGGACAAGGTAAGCTCTGCAGGGACTCCCTATGCAGTGCTGCATGGTAAGCTCGAGTGTAGCTCGGGGTTACCGCTTTTGGCATAGACATTTTACCCCGAGCTACACTCGGGAATACCGTTAGGGAGGTTAAGCACACTTTTCTTTGTTTATAATTTTTCTCCTCTTGAAAGGGGAAAAAAAGATACAATGTATCTTTTTCTCCATTCATGGAGAGAAAACAGCCCAGGGGTAGGCTGTACAGTCAAATGCTATCACAGCAATCAGATGATTGGGAACTGGGCCTCCTGGTTCCTATCAGTACAATACCCAGAGCTTTTGTTCACAACTCGATATCTGTGCTGGATGTATGTTGTGCAGTACCTCTCAGTAAAATCGCTATATTGCGAAAAGTATTGGGACAGCCCTCCAAATCATTGGATTCAGGTGTTCCAATCACCTCCATGGCCAAAGGTGTATAAAATCATCACCTAGGCATGCAGACTGCTTCTACAAACATTTGTGAAAGAATGGGTCACTCTCAGGAGCTCAGTGAATTCCAGCATGGTACCGTGATAGGTTGCCACCTGTGCAATAAGTCCATCCGTGAAATTTCCTTGCTACTAAATATTCCACGGTCACTGTTAGTGGTATTATAACAAAGTGGAAGCAACTGGGAACAGCAGCAACTCAGCCATAAAGCGGTAGGTCATGTAAAATGAGTGGGATCAGCGTATGCTGAAGTGCACTGTGTGCAGAAGTTGCCTACTGTCTGCAAAGTGAACAGCTAAAGACCTCCAAACTTTGTGTGGCCTTCAGATTAGCACAACAACAGTGTGTAGAGAACCTCATAGGATGGGTTTCCATGGCTGAGCAGCTGCATCCAAGCCTTACATCACCAAGTGCAATGGTGATGGAGAACGCTTATGGCATCAGCATACCAAGACATTTTGGACAATTTCATGCTCCCAACTGTGTGAGAACAGTTTGGGGATGTCCTCTTCCTGTTCCAACACGACTGACTGCGCACCAGTGCACAAAGCAAGGTCCATAAAGACATGGATGAGTGAGTTTGGTGTGCAGAAACTTGACTGACCTGCACAGAGTCCTGACCTCAACCCGATAGAACACCTTTGGGATGAATTAGAGTGGAGAGTGCAAGCCAGGCCTTCTCGTCCGACATCAGTGCCTGACCTCACAAATGCACTTCTGGAAGAATGGTAAAACATTCCCATAGACACACTCCTGAACCTTGTGGACAGCCTTCCCAGAACAGTTGAAGCTGTTATGGCTGCAAAGGGTGGGCCAACTCCATATTGAACCCTACAGGCTAAGACTGGGATGCCATTAATGTTCATGCGTGTGTAAAAGCAGGTGTCCCAATACTTTTGGCAATATAGTGTATGTGGCCCCATGGAAGACTAATTTCTGTGGGGCCGCATATATGAGTGCACTCATCGGGAAGGGGTTAAACTATTAAAAAATTGTCTGGGTGTCCGTAGGTAGAGAGTGCAAATTTTTAATTGTTTGATAACCATGATAAGTAGTGAAAAATATCCCTCATATAAAAACTGTTTTATAATTGTTCACTAGCACACATTAAAACCTATTTACAGTCAAATAAAAACCTATTTACAAAGAGTTCCTATAACAAAAATACAGCCATATGTGTTTTTCCTGGGCTCAAACAACTGCAATGGTTGATGGTTGGTATGCCAAACTCTCAAGACCACTGTCAAGACCAGGCAGGTCTGGGGCGACCAAACACCTGCAGAAGAGAAGATAAAAGATAATTACATCACAATCCTCATCCATCTATACACTGTACACACATGGACATATTCAGAAATGCTGGGGTGGAGAAACTATTAGAGGTTCGCTTTGATTTTCTTACCAGCTAGTGAAGAATAATGGCTAGAACTCCACTGGCCTTTTTACCTGTTCTATTTTGTGTATGTTCTACCTATGTGTATATGACTATAAATCCAGAAGACTGGTTAAAGAAATCAGCCATAGTAAGTGAGCTCGCAGACAGTGCATCTCTGGAGGGAGAAAAACACTGAACTTTAGCTCCATTTGATGTGAAAACAATATTAAAAATGACATACCTAATGAAATCTGACAAAATAGACAGGCTGCCATTTCTGAATTTTTTATTTTGAAAAAATCTAGCCACCTGGCTGTTATGTTGATCCAAAAGTTTATTACTTTCTCAGTATGCAGATCAGGTGTTATGACTGTCCTCTGACTTCACTAGCTGCATGCTTGTTCCATGTCAACTGCCCAAACTACAGAGGCCACAGACAGTAATTAGAGGAGCAAGTCAGCAATGGCAGCCTCTATACCAGTGTTTCTCAACCTTTTTTAAATCAAGGCACCCTTTAAAATTATGAACAGTCCCGAAGCACCCTTTAAAATTATGGACAGTCTTGAGGAACCCCATTTAAGAATGCGGTGCCTCAAGACTGTCCGTAATTTTAAAGGGTGCCTGGGGACTATCCATAATCTTAAAAGGGCACCCCATTCTAAAATGTGAAAAACTATTCTAATAGTTTTATATAATGCAGCAACATCCACACATGTAGAACACCCAACGTTAGACAATTTATTCTTCCAGAGAACACATACTTTTGCTCACTGGTACTGACTAGTATTCCAGTGTTTCTCTTCCCCCTCAGTTCTTCTCCATCACTGACCTAATGTGGCCCCACCACTGATCGGGAGGGTCAAACTAGGATGCTGTGCAGGCAGCTGACATCCTCCTTATCAACTGATGATGCCATTGGTTGTCAGCTCACCGGCGGCTAGAAGGTCATAAATGGTGCACAATGAAAACCTGTGACTTTGTGTAACTAAAAGACAGGCTTGTTCCACCTGCTGGCTTGTATACAAGTTTTGGGCAATTTTTAGACATTTTGCCAAGGCACCCCGGTTGAGAAAGGCTGCTCTATACTACTCTTGGAGCCACGTTCCTTAAATGATACATTTTTGAAGCCTTAAGCCCTGCACAAGTAAACATTTTCAGGGCATAGATTATTTAACTTTAAAATCTTTTTCAGAGAACACTTTCAAAGATAAGTGTAGGCAGTAAAGTAATTTTAGTGATTGTATGTAAATTCCTTGCCTAAAGATCTGAATTTCATCTCTGTTTTACCACCACCACATGCTGATAAAAACGTGCTCCCATTTATAGTGAGTACAGCAGAAAGGTATTAGAGGACCAGTTACCTTTTTCTGATAGCCTCTTTGTGTCATGATTTCTGCCTCCTGTTCTACTAAATCATCTTTCTTTTTCTTCTTCCAACTTCTCCTCCCGTCCTTCCTCCTCCTGACGCAGCATCTCTTCCATTTCTTTCAAACGCCGTTCAGAAATCTACAAAATGTAATTTAACAGGTATTGGACACAAGGCAAAACAAAGAACTCAAAGCAACTGTTTCCTTTTCAAGTGCCTTCAGGCATTAGCTACAGCATATTAGCTACACCATATTTAGAGTCTTCTGGTATATCAAACACCAGCTCACAATATCCAAAGATTCCCTTTTCTTTACAGGAAAGGAACTCTTCTTTTCACTGCCCATTTACTACAGTGGAAGGTTGTCCAAAGATCACGGCAATTTTGGAGGACAGCCAAATCTTTCAATTAGCCATAATCTGTGACAAATTTGCCAATTTATGGCTAACCTCAGTCAGAAGATCTCCAAAGGATCTGGGCAATAGTTAGAATGTATGCCCAGGCATTACTTCTTTTTAGCCCTTCAACTGCATCCTCCCCTCTAGATCATATCCCAGAATTTTTTCTTTTTACCTTGTTCCTGTAGTGAGAAACAACTGCACCCTTTTGCAGGGACAGCTGTCGGAATTCGAGTTCATTCTGACATAGGCACACCCACAAGGGCTCTCATCTTTCGGGCCTGTGAAAGAGATGGCTAAGGATAGGTGTTTTGTAGCCTAACAGGCAGGGGTGACAATTCTGACTGGGGTTTCAGTTCAGCAGAGACATTATGATACTGGAAGATAGGAGAACACTTTCTGGTAGATCAACAGGTATTTTTCTGTACCACACTTCTACACATACACTTCAAAGAGAAACTTCACTCCCCCTGCCTTTTCTCCTGTGCATCCCCCTTACCTGTTAGTTTTCTTCAAAATGTATACTCACCAGTTCAGCAGATCCAGCGTTGTGTTGTGCGCTGCCATCTTGGTCCTCCACAGCTGGCTGCCTCTTCCAGGTTCAGCAGCTGGCCCCCAATGATGCTATAGAGCTATGTTCCCTGGCTGCTGTATGAATGGGCTCCCAGGGCCTCTTTGAATGTGTTATGGAGGTCTCCCAGAGGGCTGCATCAGCAGAACACATTATTCGTGGCCTAGGGAACAGTGGTGACAGGCGGGGATAGCAGCAGGGGTTCTGCCGCTGTCAAAAAAAAAAATCAATCTAAAAAAAAAATCACTGCCTATTACCTTTGTTCAGGCATGGTCACAAATCTGCAGAGTGAAATTCTGCTTTCAGTTACCTGTGTCTCCAGTTCCAGTCTACGAGCAGTCTTCTGTTCCTCCTCGTCTTTCTTCACTCTAGAAGTCAGCTGTTTAACTTCTTCCAATTCTCTGATAAGCTCTTCCCGAGACTGTAATGATTCCCGCTGAGCTAGTCTATTCCGCTCTATCTGCTCCTCAATCTGTAGCTGTCTCCCATATAATACCTGGTAAAAAAAAATTGAGCTTCATTGGTACAACAATCAATCCCTAAAGTGTATGTATAGCCATAGTGAATCATTCGACTGCTATTGCAGCAGAGGTGAGCCAGTACAGATGCTTAGTGATTTAGACTGCCAGCTAAAAGCATTTACCAAATCACTTTAGAGAGTGTATTTTTTACTACCAATGCAGTTAGTATGCTGTGGTCAGTTACTGTTCTAGAACAGAGCTGTCATAGTGAGATCATTTTTAAAGCTGAATTTCAGGCAAACACCAGAAAAGCACAAATTAAATACTGTACATATAGGACCTGGTTTAGCTGCCAAAGGAGTTGTATTTCTGTCCATCCTATCCTGTGATTCACACAGCTCTGCCACACCACAGCCCCCCCACACAATCTATGAAGGGTTAACCCTTTG